CTATTTCTGCTGTTTTCTCTATTTTTCTTTGGATTAAATCCTCATCATGTTTAATTTAAAGAGTGTGCTTTATTAATGCTTTGTGCTGTTTTTGTTTTCTAAGAAGGGTTATTCTTGTGATCTGCCTGGAGACATTTTCACTAACGATTGATCTTCGACCTTCGACTAAAGTTCGACCTTCCACACCTACAGGTAAGAAATCTCTCCATATGGACTCGAAGACTGTATTTGTTATTGCCAAACTGATTTTTAGCCTTTACCTAAATATAATTTGTTAATTAATTCCTGTGGTAGGGTTTATAATTTAAACAAGTATTCTGAAAAAGAAGTTAAAAGATATATTAATTTTAATAGTAGTCTAATTAAAAGCCATGATTTTATTTTATACCCGTTTCATTCAGTTGGACCAAAAGCTAGTGCTGGGCAACGATTAATTGCATCAAAAATAAAAGCTTTTGTGTATATAATATATGTGTGTGTACTGTGTATTTTTATTTTGTATATATACATACACGACACACATGTATATATTTAAGAAAAATGTTATGTTTAGGTTTTTTTCACACATTGCATGCTCATAGTTTCTTTTTCAAAAAAGGAACTGTGAAAAAAAGTGAAATACCAGTAAATCACATAACTGGTACTTTGTATGTTAACTCGGAAGTATTTGCATGAATGTATGATATTCATTCTATTCAGTTACCATGTTTCATTAACAGTTCATGTTAGTATTACGCATTCACCATGGTAACTATTGTTTCCACAACCCAAAAATGCCAAGTTATTTTTATTTTGTGTTGTTTTGTACATGTTTAAATGACTGTGGTGGCTCATACCAAATTGTATTAACAAAAAGTAGTTTGACTGCTATTTAATAGCCTTACCTTTTAGGCTGTTTATTTGTATTTTATGTGTATGCTAAGTAAATAAATTTGCTACAAGCATACAATAGTACTGTCAGAAAAATTGACCCAGCAGCTGAGTTACACAAAAACTACCCAACATAAATAAAAAATTACCCAATAAAATGACCCAGCAGGCTAACTCCAGCATTTGAAGAAAAACAACAACAACAACAAAAAAACAGCATATTTTAGAGAGAGTGTTTTGTTCTTTTCTTACTCTTGGCCTGTGGTTAAAAGAACAATAGCTTGACCTGACCTGATTCTGATCTTATTCCATACTTTTAATTCAGAGATGTCAGAGATCTGCTACAGTCCAGATGATCCAGAGATCCGGATTCTTCTGATTGGCAGATATGGTTCTGGCCAAAGCTCATCTGGGAACACTATACTGGGAGAAAAGAGGTTTAAAGTTAAGAGGCATGAAACTGAAATTTGTGAGGATATAACACAGATTGGAGAAAAGCGGGTGTATGTGATTAATTCTCCAGATCTACTGGATCCAGATCTGTCTGAAGAGAAGCTGGAGGAGCTGAAAGAGCAGCTGGTCTCTCGCTGTTCAGCAGGTCTCAGTGCAGTTCTGCTCACCGTTCCTCTAGAGCAACCTGTGCAAAATGAGGAAGAGATCCTGGATTATATTAAAGATTTACTTGGTCCTAATGTTCAGAAATACATGATGGTCCTTTTCACTCGTGGAGATGAACTGGATGATCTGGATGAACCACAGACAATTGAGGAATATCTACAAAGCAAAGACCATGCAGATCTCCAGCGACTGGTGACTGAATGTGGAGGAAAGTTTCACTGTTTCAATAACAAGAAGCATGTAGAAGGTCAAGTCGAAAAATTACTACAGAAAATTGAAGAAATTATGATGAAGAACAGAGGGAAATTTACCATGGAACAAATGAAAAGGAGTGGCAGCAAAAGAGGTCCACGTGTCAATTGTACGTTGTTTATATATGACTTAATGCAGACATATGGCGATTTGTTCACTAAGTGTAAATCAATTCAATTCAAGTTTATTTGTATAGCGCTTTTCACAATACAAATCATTGCAAAGCAGCTTTACAGAAAATGTAAGTTTCTACATTATATTTAGGAGTAGGTTATTAGTGGTGCAGTAAAAATCCAGACTGTCCTCCAACAAAAAACGACTCTATAGGTCGTTTGTGCAAGCACCTTATTACGACCTATATTTACGTTTTAAAGTTTAGTGCCCTCTAGCGTGTTGCGTCTGTCATCATGAAATGACGTATGGCTGTCATCACCAATCAAAATGCGTGTTTATATAAATGCAGTTTGTGGACTTTTTACATGGTCCAACCCGATCTCATGGCAATTTGTACATATTTTACTAGGTGGCTAATTCATACGAATTCGTACGAATGACCACACCTAACCCCGCCCCTAAACCTACCCTCACAGAAATCATGCAAAATCGTGATTTACAGTGCATTTACTTTTTATGAGCACGTGCGTTCTCTGGGATCGAACCCATGATCACATATTGTCGTATAACGCAATGCTCTACCAACTGAGCAATACGAAACCTGAATTATGGCACAGATAAAAGAGTACAAAGCATTAACATGAAAGTGTCCTGTTGCCAATAGGGGCGCAATTGTAGAATATGCTCTGATGGGTCGTATTTCAGGAATTTGGACAAACGACGTATGCAGGCGTATTGGTTGGAGGACATGCTGCAGAGCAAAAATCATGCAGTTAGTTAATTTACATGTAAATTAGACAGTGAACACTATTAACTGCAATGATTATATGTTGCGATTAAACTTGCGGCAAAATGTTGTATTTTGTATGTTGTTCCATCACTAGTTTGTTGCACTACTCATATGGGAAGAATCCCTGGAGTGTGTTTTATTGCTGATTTGATCTTTAGTTTCAGAAGAGTCTCCAGCAAAAAGTCCAGATGAGATTCAACAGATCACTGAGACTGAGAGGAAAGACCAGATCAGGCTGGTTCTTCTGGGAAAAACTGGATGTGGGAAAAGTGCCACTGGAAACACTATCATCGGCAGAAAAGTGTTTGATTCTTCAGCCGCTTCAAACTCTCAGACCAAACAGTGTCAGTCAGAAATTACAGTGAGGATGGGTAAAGAAATATCAGTGATTGACACTCCTGGACTTTATGATACTGAACTCAGTAAAGGACAGGTTCAAAGAGAAATAGTGAAATGTGTAACATTCACCTCTCCTGGACCACATGCTTTTATTATCATCATTAGAGTGGGTCGATTCACCGAGGAGGAGAAAAATACAGTGCAACATCTCAAAGAAGTGTTTGGAGAACAGATATTAAAATATACCATGATCCTCTTCACTTACAAAGATCAGTTAGAGAAGCAAAATGAAACCATTGAGCAGTATCTGCAGAGAGGTGATCCAGATCTTAAAGAACTTGTACAGAGCTGTGGAAACCGATTCTTCTGTCTGGACAATGAGTCTGCTGGTTTCCCACAGTTCAAAGATCTGATCAGTAAAATAGAGACCATGATGGAAGAAAATGGAGGGACGCACTTTTCAAGTGACATGTTTGATGAAACAGAGAAATGCATTCAGGAGATTCAGAAGCAGAAACTGGATGAGAAAGTGAAGCAGCACAAACAGCAGAAGAAACGGCTCACTAAAACAGAATGGAGGAAAATATACTGGAGTTTAGTTGAGGAGTCACGACAGGAAGCAGAGCAATCATTTTCTGATATAAATCTGCACTTCCTGGGAAGCAGCCTAACGATGACCAGTGAGGAAGGAGCGAGTGCCACAAAAGAAGCTGAGCACAAAGCAACCGGTCTTTTTAGGGCAGTTATACTTGCATTCAGAGAGAGGCTGTGTGTGATTCAGTGAAAAACCACAATGATCAGACACGAGTCATTATTCAGCTCAATTCAATTCAAGTTTTGTTCTCATCTGACAGTGTCACTGCAGTCAAATCAATGATATTGCTGAATATTAAAGGGATAGTTCACCCAAAAATGAAAAGTGATGTTTATCTGCTTACCCCCAGGGCATCCAAGATGTAGGTGACTTTGTTTCTTCAGTAGAACACAAACGAAGATTTTGAACTCAAACCGTCGTAGTCTGTCAGTCTTATAATGGAAGTGAATAGGAATCATGGCGTTGAGAGTAAAAAAAACATACACGAACAAAACCAAATTAAACCCTGCAGCTCATGACGATACATTGATGTGTAAAGACACGAAACGATCGGTCTGTGCAAGAAACTAAACAGTATTTATATAATTTTTTACATCTGATTCACCGCAATGTCCGAACTGTCCTGAGCGCGTCCTCGACAGCCGGCGCGTGACGTGTGTTCTTCTTGTTTTATGGCAGATCGCAGACTTATAAGTGCATTACCGCCACCTATCTCTCAAATGCACCATTGACACTCGTAATTGAGATTGTAGCTAGAGTGTCAATGGTGCCGTGATTCCCATTCACTTCCATTATATGACTGACAGACTGCAACGGTTTGAGTTAAAAATCTTCGTTTGTGTTCTACTGAAGAAACAAAGTCACCTACATCTTGGATGCCCTGGGGGTAAGCAGATAAACATCAGCTTTTCATTTTTGGGTGAACTATCCCTTTAAGTGTCTTTTAAACCCCAAATCATTGAGCCAAAGGTGACAGTGACAACTAACACAAACTCTATCAGGTGGCAAAAATGAAAAAAAAAAAAAACAATACCTTGGGAGAAAAACCATTTCGGCTCTGTCGTAATCATGCTGCACCACAATTTTATTATTTTTTTAAATGGACATTTACTCAAACTTCAGTATCTCGGCTCATGATGGTTGTAGCTCCTTGAAACAAAAACTGATCTTTAGAGCATGTGATCTTTCATGCGATCAATTTTACAATAAGTGGACTACTTCTGATGGACTGACCCTTGAGAGAAACTCTTTTTTGATGGATCTTAATTCTGATTCTCTTTAGTTTCATCAGCTGTGCTGAAGAGAGATGAACATGTAAACAACTTCAGTCTGAGCTGAACTCTGAGGAGAAAAATACAGCTTAAAGAAGTGAAGACCATGATATTACAAAGATCAACTAATGGAGAAATATAAAACTGTTGAGCAGTTTCTACAGAATTATTATCCAAATCTTCAATCCCTCATACGAAAGTGATTATTCTGTCTGGACAACGTCTTCCAATTCCCCACAGTTCAAAGTTCTGCTCAGTAAAATAGAGATGATAGTGAAAGAAAATGGAGGGACACACTTCACCAGTGATTTGTGGCATTTCTTAATGCATTCAAGAGATTCATAAGAAGAAACTGGATGAGGACGCAGTTAGGCTTAGAAGAGTCTCGATGTGCAGAAGAGCATTTGATCATGACTGGTGAAATCCTAATAGCTCTAGCCAGAGTTAAAGGAGTAAGAGCGCCAGTTCAACTTGCGATCAGAAGCACAGAGAAACTAATGAAAACAGAAGTGTGTAATTCAATGAGAGACAAGGATCAGACACACACGACACTAGACAAACTACATAAATGCATGCTTTCTTCTTAAACTATCTTATCCATAAGGAAACATTTAAATATTCCTCAATGGCATTGATTGCTTATAGAAATCTTCTGAATCAATTTAGATGTAATGCAACAAAAAACATGTAATGCAATAGTGCACTGAGCTATAGTGCAAAAAACAATAGTAAGTGTTCAAATTACTGTATATCTGAACAATTGTAGATTGTAGAAAAAACAGCTGAACAAAAATGACATATTCCAGATTTGCTAAACTGGGCAAATTGCAATCTACCTAGAGCAGTGCAAATGTGTCTGCTTTAAGACATGCCTTTTTTGGGCATTAAATAATGGTGCAAATACCAGTAAATTGACTAGCTCTCCTCCCATAAATTTTGCGTCATAAAGGGGAACTCCTATAAATGCATATGCAATATGGTCAGCTGCAAAAATAACCTGACCTGGTAAGGACTCTAGCCACTGCATTTTGGACTACCTGTAGCTTGTTTATTGAAGATGCAGGACAACCACCTAGCAGTGCATTACAATAGTCCAGTCTAGAGGTCATATGATTTTCAAAAGACAAGTTGCTGTCTAATATAACACCCAGATTTTTGGGCGTAGAGGAAGTAACAGTACTCCGTCTAGCTGCAAATTGTAATCCAACTCATGAGACTCGGAAAAAACGCAAGTCATTTGGTATGGGAGGTTATATTAATGTATCTCTGAGGGGAATTGGCTGTCTTTAGAAAAGTTCAGATGGTATTTCCTTGTTATCTTGCCTCTGTATAATGCATATTAAAGTAGTGTTCATAACCGCAGCTGCTTTGTTTACAGCAACAACCAAGGAAACGATGTTTAATTGCTGTTCAAGCACCACCCGCTGGCAGAGAGTGAATCTGCATTCTAATTCAACCTGTCTACTGTTTTTTTTTTGTGCAGATGTTTTATGTAGAATATTTTCACAAAACTAAAGTCAGACCATTTTGTTTTTGCTTTAAATTTCGAAATTATACAGTCTAATTTAGATTAAAAACTGCTCATGTTGCAT